CCCCGAGAGAAAAAAAGTCTTTTAAAAAGGGCCCTTAATGAGTTTTTTTTTGAAAAAAGGGAAAAAAATTTTTTTTTTGAGATTTGTTTTCCCTATGGGGTTCCCGTTTTAAAACCCCTTCGCTCAAATTTTCCAGGAAAAAAAAAATTTGTTGGGGGGCCCAAAAAAGAACTTAATAAAAACCTTTTAAATTTTCAAAAACTGGCTTAAAATCGCACAAAAATGAATTCTGGGCGTACTTCTCTTAACCTTTAACTTATATTTATGTTTTAAGTGCACCAGTTGACATTTGCAAGAATTTTAAAATTTGTTTTTGTGCTTTTTGACCTCGATGGACTTTCTTTCAAATATTTCGTCCACAAAATAATCAAACGTTCTATATTTATGCAAGCTGTTGTATGTGTGTGTGTGTGTGTGTGTGTGTGTCTGCGTGTGCGTGCGTGCGTGCATGTGATTGTGTGTGTGTTGGTGTGTATGTGTGTGTGTGTGTGTTTCCTTCCTTGATTATCTAATATCATATAAATCTACTCTGGAAAAAAACTGTTTATGACATTATATTCTATACAGTGCAAATTGCTTACAACCTGCGTTCCATTGTCAAAAATATATAAAATGTCAATCAAATACTTTTAATACAAGCGAGATGTTTTTGTCCATTAATACATACATGTATAAGTAAATAAAATACTCAATCAAATATACCAATAACACAAACTAAAACAAGAAGAAAAAAACTTGATATACAGTATAACCTCCGGAGAGCGACCTTCTGTAGAGCAATAACCTGTGTACAATGATAGCATAATTTCTTCCCAAAATAAACATTCACAATAAATTTAACCTCTCTAAGACAATACCTCTCAGCAACGACCAGAATCTTGAACTTCCGTAGGATGTTGCTATGCACAAGTTGTACTGTATATGCAAAATATATACAATAAAAAAGCAATTGAAAATATTATAAATAAACAAAAAAGCATGAATGCTACATTTCCAAAATTAAACAGCCTTAAAAGTTAACAATTTTTATGCCAAAGTATAGATTTTTGTATTATAAGTATACGCTTCATGTACATATGTGTACATATATACCATACATCCATTATACATGTACATAGTATATGCTGCATAAAAGACATTTTGTTTTTATTGGCAAAATTGTTGACCAGAAATATCTATGTTGCTTATGTTTTACTTGATGACTTAATGTTCCATTGAATTACTAGTTCCACTAATTTAATAAATCCATTGATTTATGTCGTTCATCGATTTACTAGTTTCATTGAGTAACTACTTCATTTCGTATAATAAAAAGTCCATTGGTTTGTTGCGTTTTGTATCAATTTACTACTTCCATTGAGTAACCTGTTTCATTTATGTATGTGTTTTATCGATTTACTAGTTCCACTGATATATTAAATTCTTTGATGTATGTATTTCATCGATTTACTAGTTCAATTGAGTAAATACTTTAATTAATATATCAATGTCCATTGATTTTTTGCGTTTTACCAATTTCAAAGTTCCATTGAGTAATTTGTTCCATTTATGTATGTGTTTTATTATTTACTATTTACACTGATTCAATAATTCTATTGATGTAGTTGTTCTATCGATTTACTAGTTCCACTGATTCAATAATTCTATTGATGTATGTGTTTTATCGATTTATTATTTCCACTGATTCAATAATTCTATTGATGTATTTGTTTTATCGATTTACTAGTTCCAATTAGTTTCAATTCTATTGATGCATTTGTTTCATATATTTACTATTTCCACTGATTCAATAATTCTATTGATGTATGTGTTTCATATATTTACTAGTTTCACTGATTCAATAATTCTATTGATGTATGTGTTTTATCGATTTACTAGTTCCACTGATTCAATAATTCTATTGATGAATGTGTTTTATCGATTTACTAGTTCCACTGATTCAATAATTCTATTGATGAATGAGTTTCATCGATTTACTAGTTCCACTGATTCAATAATTCTATTGATGTATGAGTTTTATCGATTTACTAGTTCCACTGATTCAATAATTCTATTGATGAATGTGTTTTATCTATTTACTAGTTCCACTGATTCAATAATTCTATTGATGAATGTGTTTTATCGATTTACTAGTTCCACTGATTCAATAATTCTATTGATGAATGTCTTTTATCGATTTACTAGTTCCACTGATTCAATAATTCTATTGATGAATGTGTTTTATCGATTTACTAGTTCCACTGATTCAATAATTCTATTGATGTATGAGTTTTATCTATTTACTAGTTCCACTGATTTAATTATTCTATTGATGTATGAGTTTCATCGATTTACTAGTTCCACTGATTCAATAATTCTATTGATGTATGAGTTTTATCGATTTACTAGTTCCACTGATTTAATAATTCTATTGAAAAATGTGTTTTATCGATTTACTAGTTCCACTGATATAATAATTCTATAGATGTATGAGTTTTATCGATTTACTAGTTTCCTCTGATTCAATAATTCTATTGATGAATGTGTTTTATCGATTTACTAGTTCCACTGATTCAATAATTCTATTGATGTATGAGTTTTATCGATTTACTAGTTCCACTGATTCAATAATTCTATTGATGAATGTGTTTTATCGATTTACTAGTTCCACTGATTCAATAATTCTATTGATGTATGAGTTTTATCGATTTACTAGTTCCACTGATTTAATAATTCTATTGAAGAATTGTTTTATCGATTTACTAGTTCCACTGATATAATAATTCTATAGATGTATGAGTTTTATCGATTTACTAGTTCCACTGATTCAATAATTCTATTGATGTATGAGTTTTATCGATTTACTAGTTCCACTGATTTAATAATTCTATTGATGTATGTGTTTTTATCGATTTACTAGTTCCACTGATTCAATAATTCTATTGATGTATGTGTTTTTATCGATTTACTAGTTCCACTGATTCAATAATTCTATTGATGTATGTGTTTTATCGATTTACTAGTTCCACTGATTCAATAATTCTATTGATGAATGTGTTTTATCGATTTACTAGTTCCACTGATTCAATAATTCTATTGATGTATGTGTTTTATCGATTTACTAGTTCCACTGATTCAATAATTCTATAGATGTATGAGTTTTATCGATTTACTAGTTCCACTGATTTAATAATTCTATTGATGAATGTGTTTTATCGATTTACTAGTTCCACCGATTCAATAATTCTATTGAAGAATGTGTTTTATCGATTTACTAGTTCCACCGATTCAATAATTCTATAGATGTATGAGTTTTATCGATTTACTAGTTCCACTGATTTAATAATTCTATAGATGTATGAGTTTTATCGATTTACTAGTTCCACTGATTTAATAATTCTATTGATGAATGTGTTTTATCGATTTACTAGTTCCACCGATTCAATAATTCTATTGATGTATGAGTTTTATCGATTTACTAGTTCCACTGATTTAATAATTCTATTGAAGAATTGTTTTATCGATTTACTAGTTCCACTGATATAATAATTCTATAGATGTATGAGTTTTATCGATTTACTAGTTCCACTGATTCAATAATTCTATTGATGAATGTGTTTTATCGATTTACTAGTTCCACTGATTCAATAATTCTATTGATGTATGTGTTTTATCGATTTACTAGTTCCACTGATTCAATAATTCTATTGATGTATGTGTTTTATCGATTTACTAGTTCCACTGATTCAATAATTCTATTGATGTATGTGTTTTATCGATTTACTAGTTCCACTGATTCAATAATTCTATTGATGTATGTGTTTTATCGATTTACTAGTTCCACTGATTCAATAATTCTATTGATGAATGTGTTTTATCGATTTACTAGTTCCACTGATTCAATAATTCTATTGAAGAATGTGTTTTATCGATTTACTAGTTCCACTGATTCAATAATTCTATTGAAGAATGTGTTTTATCGATTTACTAGTTCCACTGATTCAATAATTCTATTGAAGAATGTGTTTTATCGATTTACTAGTTCCACTGATTCAATAATTCTATAGATGTATTTGTTTCATCGATTTACTAGTTCCACTGATTCAATAATTCTATTGATGAATGTGTTTTATCGATTTACTAGTTCCACTGATTCAATAATTCTATTGATGTATGAGTTTTATCGATTTACTAGTTCCACTGATTCAATAATTCTATTGAAGAATGTGTTTTATCGATTTACTAGTTCCACTGATTCAATAATTCTATTGATGTATGTGTTTTATCGATTTACTAGTTCCACTGATTCAATAATTCTATTGATGTATGTGTTTTATCGATTTACTAGTTCCACTGATTCAATAATTCTATTTATGTATGTGTTTTATCGATTTACTAGTTCCACTGATTTACTTGCTCTATTGATTAATAATCCTACAGATTTATGTGTTTCATTGGATTTTTTGTTCCACTGATTTAGTAAATTCACTGATTTATATGTTTTATCGATTTCCTAGATAACATTCGTTTAATAAATCCATGGATGTATGCGTTTCATTGGTTTACTAGTCCCATTGAACTACTAGTTCCATTTATATCCCCATTCCTACTTGCATTGATTTTTTTAGTTCAATCGATCTGTTTATAACTTTGATTTACTAGTGACATTGATTTACTTATAACATTGATTTTCTGTGAAATCCCCTACTGGAAACACATATTCATCTCTACATGTATTCCATGCTTCCAAAAATGTATGCTCAAATACGTTCACTCTTAAAGGAATGTTAACAAATCCTTACACACGGTGATAATCTCTTTATTTTCACTTTTCATTCAAATGTCATTTATTCCAAGTTTGATGACCATGATGACATAGTTCTCATGACGTTAGCGTATTAGACTGACCTTACACAATTTAATAACCCAATCAGAGCACGAGATCTTTGCTTATAAAGAAAGAATTCTGTAGCACATTTTTTTTTCACTCAAAACCAAAAAAAAATTCTCTATGTTCATATCTACACAGTCCAAATTGTGTACGTAATTAAAGACACTATGAATACAGATATGTTGCAAATTAGTTGCGTCCCTTTACCAGTTGGCCCATCGTCCGTTTTTGACTCTCCGAAATCGCATGCAGTTCCTAAAACATCAAAACAAAATATATAGATATATTTAAAAATAAAAAAATGAACCACTTGAGTGACACAGTTTAAGTTTAATTTCATTTTTTTAACTGTAAAGAATAATCCATTAAACTCTTAAACATACTAATAACAATAAATGAACTTAGATTTTTAGTCGTATTTTGGATGAACAATATACATGTATAAAGTTATGATGGAGAAAGAGAGCATATTGAGAAAAAAACAAAGTATATTAACCTTTTTACGCTAAATATCTTTAATGGTCTGGAAAGATGGACAAGTCCGTTGATCATTTTAGGGGAAATTATAAAATATGTAGAGACTGAAAGACAATGATCAAACGGCACGGATGGGCTGGGCATTCTTGGTTTGCACTGGTCTCATCCGGATGTCATCGGTATATAATGTATTCACATAACGAAAAGCAACCTCATTGTTAAATGTTGCTTGCAATTCTTACCTTTTTCACAATCGCATACTTTTCCTTTCCAACCACTTGCACATATGCATTCAAAGTCTCCTTTGATGTTATTGCATTTACCATTGTTTAAACACGGGTTGATGGTATCTACAAAAATATATATTTATAAATAACGTGTTAGTTTATTTTAATGTTTCATCACTAGCACTGTGCACTTTTATCATATGGCATTGCTTGTTTACAGTGTATTATCATCATTATGTATTTCGTATGTATGTAGTTAAAGCTTAATGAGGGTCCATCCGCCCTTTCGGGCACAAAATGCAGCTTGCCCTGTCGAGTACGGACCCCGGACATGTCACCAGTCATGTCCTTAAAGAGTTAATTTTGAAGCACAAAATGGTGATAATTTACCTCCATGCAATTTCCACGGAGTATTAGCCAAAGATATGAATTTTGAGCCAAAATTAGGTCACTGTACGGCGGTCAATGAGAACCTAAATGTACAGTAACCTGTGACAATAGGAAAGGTGTTTAGCCCTGAAAAGGGCTGTTGGTGCCAGCTATAGGCCTGCCTTACAAGCCGTCTATCTGTACTAGGGGCACACGCACCCTAGTACACCATCCTCGTCGTCTCAGCCTACTTTGTAGGGCCACTCCCCTCGGCAGCTGGTCCGCAGAAGTGACGAAGTAGGATTCCGTAGTTAACGCCCACGGTTGAAGGCTACGTTAAAGTTGTCTACCAGCCAAGTTGTAAATCTTCTGCCGATGCCCTGTGCCTTCTCAGTGACGTGCACGCTCCGAGGGGAAGTGAGAAGATTATGTATTTCTTTTCATTACGTGCCTTTTATATGAAAATTTCCCTGTCAAACAATTTCGCAGATTCCGGCGTGTTCCGGCCTTATAATATCAATTGTCGGTGCGTATTGACTTAATTAGATTTATACGTATGTCATCATATGAACAACATATGAACAGTTAGGTTCACCAGGAGCATACTTTTTAGGTTTTGTACAGAATTCCTTTTGTCATTTTTATAATGCATAATTACATAATACAATGAGATTTACATGTGTGTTATTCTGAT